ATCTGTACTCACTGGCACATCTGTACTCACTGACACATCTGTACTCATTGACACATCTGTACTCACTGACATTTAACACAGCGTGATCTGATTTAGTATTTCTTTGTTTCTAATTATGTTTTCGGTTTTATATTTTTATTCCATGTGCTGTAAATATATCTTGCTACTTTTTATTTGATGATGTGATATTTTTGTTAAGCACTTTTTAACAGTTTCTGTTTTAAATGTGCTCTATAAATAAATCTGACTTGACTTGCTCTGCAGTGTCACAAACAGAGTGCGGGGGGGGGGGGGGGGGGGGGGGGGCAATGGCCACCCCTGTAAAACTGTCAGCCCTCCACTGGCCCCATTGACCAGGTGGTCATTGATAAAACTAAAACATTTTGTCAACGTGAAAGAGGAAAGAGGAGGCAGGTATCATCTCACTTTGAGTTTTACTCTCTGTCACATGCGTGCTGTGGGTGACAAGCGTCCAGAGCGTCATGAAAACAGCAGTGAGGTGTCCGAGTTATCTATTTATCGTCTCAGCAGCAGAGGGGAGCGACACGGTTCAAGCATGGCTCCCCAAACAACAAGGCAGTCATAATTGTTCATAACTTTATTACTAGTCAGGCTGAGAGTTACCGGATCCAAACAAACAGTTGCTGGAACGCAAAATGTCAAAATAAGAGAGTTCCTGGATCTTGTTCTGGCAGGACCCAGTTCAAATTAAGCACTGGTCAAAGCGCTTTAATATCAGCACCAGTAGAAGGAGCCCAAATCCTCACCATATCTATTTTTGTAAGGAAGCGACGAGCATTAATATGCACAACGTGTAAACCTGACATGTTTTTCAAATCTGTTGGAGTGCTACATGAGGGGAGTGGACCAGGATTAGGATGAACACCAGCACAGTAGGCCCTCGCTACGCTGAGGTAAATGGACTGTGCTTATATTCACCTTTCCATCTTATTTCAAGATACTCAAAGCTCTTTACTATAATCTGTGCCTCATGTACCCATTCATACAGCTCTATACTAGATCTCTACAAAGATAACTGAACAAATCATTCTAAAGAGACTAATCAGACATTTTAGATTCAAGGATTTTATTGTGATACTAGTTCACATGTGAACGGTACGAAATTCAGACTCAGTTCCCAGATCAAGAAACCTAACAATTAACAAATAAATAAATACAAAAGAGTATACACACACACACACACACACACACACACACACATACACACACACACACACACACGTGTGCGTGCATTCGTAAATAAATAAATAAAGTTATTTTAAAGTAAGATGAGGCTGAATTAAGTGCAGGTCAAGTCCAGCACTGACAGCTGCTCTGAGTGCCTTCAGCCACCTCCTTGGGGGGGCTGCTCCCCAGTCGCAGCCTCCCTCTGCCGTGCCACAAGGTGATGAGGTGCAGAGAACGCTCTCCACCACACAGCAATACAACTTGTCAGTGCTCCCAGGTCCAGCCCTCTGCAGCTTCCTTCATTCACCAACACACAGAGTCCTCCCCCATGATTATCCTGACCGATGGTCACGCTCAGAACACCTGAAGACCGTTGATCTGGAAGCTTGAGTCCGGCATGTTCTTGTTCAGCCAGGGTTCTGTTAGGCAAAGGACAGCACAGTTCTTCATCTCTGTAGAAACACTCTTCCTCAGATGTAACAAGTCCACTTTGTTGTGCAGTGGCATTGGTCAGAAAGAGAGTAGGAATCAGTGGTTTTTATAGCTTTTAGCTGCCCCCCCCCCCCCAACACACACACTTTCCCCTCTTCCTCCTGACCGTTGCTCCTCGCCCTCACTGTGTCATACTGCTGCACCATTCCATTGTCCTCAGGAGCCGCTGTCCACCAAGTGTGTATTTCAAACCGAACTGTCTCTGATGACCGTCGGCTCGGTTGAGTTGTACCTGAGCTCTGAACCAGCTGTGAACCAGCTGTGAACCAGCTGTGAACCAGCACCTAAAACAGCCTCATGGGAATTAAAATAAGGTCCAGGAGCACGAGAAGCTGCACTTTCTGTGCACCAGCATCCAATCACACATTCATGCACCCTTAGGACACACATCAGAGGCAATGAGGGGCTCAGTGTCTTGCTCAGGGACACTTTAGCATGTGACTGCTGGATTCAAACCCCCAACTCTTGCACTGGAGGACGACTGCTGTAACCACTGAGCCACAGCCGCCCCTTAACTTGGTTAGATTTTTCTACCTGGTTTATTGAGCATGCATCAGAATAAAGCGAGAAGCTCCAGGAAGCCAAAGGCCTGTCAGGATACAGACCGTCTGGACGTTGCAGCCTGAGGTTCTTCACGAGGTAGTTCCTGAAGAGAGGACACACTAGGCCTGTCAGGATACAGACCGTCAGGACGTTGCAGCCTGAGGTTCTTCACGAGGTAGTTCCTGAAGAGAGG